CAAATCTATTAATGCTATTGATATTGCTTCTGAGTTCAGTAACTACTGTGGATTTTTCTTGGCAATGGATGAATGCAGGCAAGAGATATTTATGATCTTTTGTCAGAGTTTGTTCTTAAATCAACACTTCTACTTTTTGGTTTGCTACTGTCTAGTGAGGTACAAATCCCAAATGAAGCTCTCCCCACAGTTGTGAGCATTTATTTCCAATGGTTATCTTCACAGTGCAAAGCAGACTGTTGCTTCAGTTCCAGGGTAGTTTTTTAAGATTTGAATCCATGCTTCATTAATTATTGCTCTCAGAATTGTTTTATTGCTATTTTTTTTTGTCCATTGCTTCTTTAAAGAAGTCTTAAACTGCTCACTAGTTACATACATCCCACATCACTGTATATATATGCTGCACTAGTCAAAATGTTTGGCAGCTGGCAACTTTTTAGAGAAGTATTTGGGAGAAACAGAAGGGCCTCTCTGTTTAGTTTTGTTTATTGATTCCCTTAAAAACTCACACAAAGCATCTCTTACAGTTTAGAAATTACAAATTTAGCAAATTAAACTTTTTCATGTATATGACAATGAATATTAATTACAAAAGCAGATGTTTGTGAGAAGAACATTTGCCTTCATTTTTGAAGTTGTAATTGTATATTCAAGACACACAAGCTTTCATTTGCATCTGTTTTTCTTATGTTGAAAGGTTTTTATTAAGTATATTTTTTTAAATAGCCCTTTCTCTTCTTTATTTTTAATAAAAGAACCACCGTAGTGTGAAAGACAATCACCTGCATTTTAAGAATAGGTTATATTCTTTGATTTTCTGTGACTTATTTTTGAAAATATGTCCTATTTTCACCCAAATTGTTTTGGAATGGAGGTACTTTGCAACATATTTTTGTTGTTTCAACTTGTTCCATCAAGGCTTGTGTTGATTCAGCTTTGATGAAAACTACCTTTTAAAGTAGCCAGGATACTTCCATTGCTCTCCTTTATTCTCTTGTTTTGTCATTTACCGAGCATATATGTGCTGTGCATTTTTTCATTGTTGATGGTGGCACTTGCTTTAAATTCTGTTTCAGATGATTCTTTAATTAGTGAGACTGTCTCTTCCCTATATTTTCCTTTGTTGCCACAGATTTCACCCCCCTCCTTAAAATAATACCTAATAAAACTGATTAATGCGGTGAGAAATAATGGTAGCTAAACATCTCTCAGAGCAAGCCAAGCCAAGCAAGGAATAAAACTCTTTAAAACTGTGTGATGCTTTCATTCAAAAGAGCAAACAAAGCTGCATGAATTGGCTAGATAATGCTTATGCCAAGTGGCATAATTTCTAGATACAGTCTTATTCTATCCTCTTTTGTCCTTTCTTTAGGGACAAGAGCTGCTTAGTTTTATGATTTTTTAATACCCCTAATATGTTGTGGGTACTGCTGTAGTCTAAATTATGTAGATGTAATTGCAAAAATTATTCTTACCGATAAGAAACATATGCTCTCTACATTTTCCACACTATTTCAGTGTTTTTAATGAAAAACATATTTGATGTTTGTCTCCAGCAAAGAGGTAATGAAGTATCATGCCTGGAGGAGGCTTGTGTTTTCACCTGAAGTAGCAAGGCTGAAACTTTAATACTAAGCAGTCTTACAAATCAGGGCCATGAGGTGAAGGTAGCTTGATTCCAAAAGCTTTGCTCTGGAAACTGTCTTCTGACATAAGATAGGATAAGTAAGTCATGGAGAGAAACAGTTACAAAAATGTATGATGGATAGTTCTGAAGATATTGTTTTGAAAAGGATTTAGAATTGGATATGAATCCATTATAGAACATCAAGGAACAATGATTCCACTTGTCTCATACCTAAGTGGATTTTAAGTGTGTGTTTTAAGCTACTGTGAGTTTCCACACGGACTTTGGAATTTTTTCCATATTTGAGGTACTTGGGTAAAATAGCATAAGGAGTTAGTAAGGAAAACTAATTTAGGAGAAAATGAGAATGGTTGTGCTTTCACAGATGAAGGATCTGTCTAGCCATGCATCCCCTCACTGTGGCAATTCTTGGAGGCATATTTCTAGGAAACTTTTGTGAAAATCTGCAAATCTTCAGCAGTTTGTGGCTGAAGAAACTCTTGTGACTGAGGTGATGTGTTTTCATGTAGGAATTACGTATTTTTTTTCAACTTTAACTTCTTCAGTGGCTTTCTGAGTCCGTGCAAGCTTTTAGCATAAATATATACATCCACAGCTCTCAATTTAGAGGAAATGTACCTGAACACACACATACACCGCCAGTCCCCATCTTGTCTCTTGCTATCCAGACATATTCCTGGAGGTAAAACCAGGACCAAAGCAGCAGTGGCTGTCTTGAGTGGACTTTCTCTCAGGTCCGTACTCCATGTTCAATCAGTGGCTTCTTGTTTATTCCTTCTCTCCCTTTAGTATTTAGTGGCTAATTTAATATTTTATTGGTACAGCTCCCATTAGGGTTTTTCATTCTTATGTAACCAACTCTTTTTTAACAAATTCTAAGTGTAACATTTCAGACTGTGTGGAAGGTGTTGCTTACACACAAGCTGCTAGTGACACATCACTTACATTCTACCTACCTAGAAAGGAAACAAACCTTAATGATCAAAACAGAAACCATCCTTTTTCCCTCCTTTAACACTTTATTGATAACTCAGTCAAGAAATTATGCAGGAAGGACCACTTGAACATAAATTCCTGAGGAAGGAAAAAGTAATGTTCTAGAAATGTGACAATGAGAAGACAAATGAGGGGGATGAGCCTGGTTTCATATGTCAGATTTTTTCCATTTGCATATCAGATCAGCTATCAAAACATGATTTTTTCCCCCTTTCTTTTAAACTAGATGTACTATGAATGAATGCTGATACAAGACACAAGTTTTTTCAGGATATATATTATCAGTATGTTAGATAGATTCTTTGTATCAGAGAAGTTAGTGTGTAGTGAGACTGGAAGAATGTGAATGTTTTTACAGAAAGCAAGGAAAAAGAAGTATCAAAGATCTGACTAACCTGAGAAGTGCACATTTCTCTCTCACTATTCTACAGAAATACCACCTACTTCAATAATTTCCTTGCTACTTTGTAGCTGATAATCAGGAATTAGAAGAACCCTCATGTGCTGCTATTAAACTGATATGGACAGTGAGCGGTCTGTTATACAAACGTGTTATGTAACATATTTAAATTCTGATTCCTCTGTATGTCCAAAATGTGCTCTAATACAGTGTGGATAAGATGCCTTTTATTCTAAGGCCACCAAAGGTTAAAAACTACTGAAAACTCTGTCCCATGAATATCTCTGACAGGAATTCCTGTTTACATTATGAGTAGAAGGAATTGTTGAAACTGATTGTCATGGTTTGACATAGCTTTTTTTTATTTCTGTTGTAATCAGCAACTGCTTTATGTTCTCAGATCTCAGAGCTTAACATAGTTGTGCAAGAAATAATGGTAGCACTCTTGATTAATTTCTTTTTAATAAAAAATGCAGGGACATGGGCAACCCAACAGGAAGCTAGCTGGGCCACAGGACATTTAACTGTTTTGAAATAATTCTATTTTTGCCAAGTGCTTTATTTAGCTTAGGCTTCTACCTTCCAAAGTCTTCACAGATATCTGTGGTTTATTCCTTTGTAGATCAAAAGTGGTCTCCTGTGTGCAATAGAAAGATGTGAGGGTTTACATTGATCCCTAATTAAACACAGAATCACAGAATAAGCTGAGTTGGAAAGGACTTGGAAGGGACCCACAGGGACCATTGAGTTCAACTCCTGGCTCTGCACAGGACCATCCCCCAGGATCACACCATGTGCCCAAGGATATGTCCAAATGCTTCTTGAACTCTTCTCAACCAGAAAGATAATTTTCTTCTGGTTGCAGGGAAGTTCTTCTATAAGGTGTTGGACTTGTTGTTTTGATCTCAAATTCATGTTTTTTAATCAGAAAATGCAATACAAACCTGTCAAATTACAGTGAATATCAGTTCAGCAATTATTATTTGAAATAATTTTGACCTCATTAAAATAGGAAAATTATGCTTAACGGAATTTCTAGCGATGACTCTTCTGAGAACATTACAGTGGGTTTGAACAAAAACAACTATATAACAGTACAAATGCAAAGAATCGTTATTGTTAACTTCAAGGATCTGGATTTTATCCTAAGTGTGGAAGCTTGGTCAGAGAGAGTTAGAAAGAAAAGCATTCAATGAGCCATCTCTAATTCACATAGATATTTCTGTAGCCATGGTGATTCAGCTTTTTCTGTAACCATCATATTTGTTATTCTCACCAAACAAAAAATTAAATATCTGGATCACATCAGTTATGTTAACTAGTTTCAATTAATTTTATTAGGGCTGTCTCATTCTATCTGAGGAGAAGAAAACCCTTCTAACCTAAGGTTAGACCCTTTGTCTAACCTGATATATCAGTATGGCTGCCTAAAAATCTGGAAAAAACCTTGCTTTTAAAACTCGGTGTGCGAGTATTGTCTTGAGACTGGAATAACAGGTTTCCATTTCAAAATACACTTCCATTTCAAGTGTATTATACTGCTTTGGAAACCAGTGTATTCTGATTGATAGCAATTCTTCTTGCGGTTTTTAATCAATTGAAACTAAATTTTTGAAGTCTTTGGTTCTGTAAGCTTTGGATACCTAATGATGTTTTGAATCATGGTCAGAAGCAGTTCTTAGCACAGTCTTTCTAAATTACTGTCTTTTAGTATGGTATAATTTCTGCCTAGTGATAACTTTTCATTCATGTAATTTGTAGGTGTTAAAATGTAACATATGTTTGTTACTGGGCCCTGAATGTTTGACATTATCTAAGAGTAGTATGCAAATACTCGCATGACACACCTGTGTTGTGAAATATTTTTTCACAATGAAAATGGATTAATAGGTGTTGTGGGGAGGACTGTTCTGCTTATTTTTTACCAAGGATTCTTTTTGTTTCTTTGTTTTTCAGATAATGGAGGACAAACTTTAGCAGGGGGGAATAACTGGCCACTGAGAGGGAGAAAATGGACCCTCTGGGAAGGAGGAGTGAGAGGTGTAGGCTTTGTTGCAAGTCCTTTGTTGAAACAAACAGGTGTAGAAAGTCATGAACTCATCCATATCTCTGACTGGCTGCCAACGCTGGTGCACCTCGCTGGAGGACATACCAATGGCACTAAGCCCTTGGATGGCTTTGATGTTTGGAACACTATCAGGTAACTTTCATGTCAAATCACCGAGACATCATTCTGGTATGAGAAGAATTTAATCAGCCCAGAAAACAAAACTGAAGTGGGGAGGGAAATATTACCTGTTCCTTTCCCATAAATAAGGGAAAGTATAAATGCATTTAATTGTGCCGTCTATGAAAGAATTATTCAGGCTACAAATTAATCCTGCTTACAGATGCAAAGCTTTCATACAGCTTTAACCTGTTATTTTGAATTTTTCGGTATGAACACTACAGCTCACAAATATGGTATACTTCTTCAAGAGCCTTGTGTGATCCCGAAGTATGTTAACTGAGTTTGCACAGCATGGAGTATAAGTTTTAAATTTTATGAACCAAACCCTGCTCTCTACAGAGCTCAGTCAGGTGTCTCTGTCATATGCATCTGGAATTGGACATGTGGGAAATCTGTGCAGACATTAAACTCACTAAACATGGATTCCACTTTGATTGATTGTTAGCTGAGTGCAGGACTTGTCGGGCTGGCTTACAATGTAACCACTTGCACAGACCCATGTCATGCTGTCCAGTGTCTCAAAAAGCCATTGAGATCGAGTACAAAAGTACACCTGACCTGGTTCCTGAAGGTCATGATGTTGTGACTGATTCAAGCAAGCTGAAATACTTAAAAGCACAATGCAGACATGCTTAGATGACTGGAAAAAAGAGGCAGCATAGCTCCAGCTGGGTTATTTCAATGTTTGTTTATTCCACTAAAAAAATATTACAAAGTCCTTAAAACCTATGTTTCTGCAGAATTTGAAAGTTCTGTGACCAACCTTTGGTTTTTCAAAAATTGTGTTGGTTTAAATTCCTATGTTTCTTCCTTTTATGTGCTGCGTGTAATGTATTCATTGATATGGCTAAATGCAGTTGTCTGTACTCGAAGAAGTTATATTTATTTTAGTAGGTCTTTGAATATAGTTTTAATTCACATAAGAATAATTTAGGATGGAAAGTTTAATACTGCCAAAGCAGAATAAAAGGACTAACAATTCTACTTCCTACATGCTATTCAGTTGAGGAGTAGTGTTCTCTTTCTTTTGGTAGCCTTTGTTCTGTATTTATAGTAGGTAGACTATACCATATTATCTCTGTTTTCACCCTTTGTCCCCTTCCTTTTTTTGTGTGTATCCTAGACTGTGAATTGCAAGAGTTAAAAGCAATTCGTATACAAGCATGAGCTGCCTGGGTTAGGGACTGAGATGACAAATAGTGAGTTAGAGTAGGTAGATGCTAACCCATGTACCCATCCATGGATCCATCTGTATGGATCTTGGAGTGAAAAACAAAAAGCAAAACCAAACCCAACCCCCAACACCTCCTTGGAATTAAACCCTATATCTTGAGTTCAGAATTGTTTTGTCTATACCTGTAGCATTACCTGTTTGAAGCTGGTAAGCTTGGTTTCATTCTTAGTGCTGCTGTGTTTCTGAAGAGCTAAGGAGTGGTTTTCTGTAGTAGCTGGAGTTTGCAGGAAGCTTATGGCTTTGTGCCCATGTGTACTGTATGGCTCTCTTCCAAGTGGAAGAAGATAACGATATGTGTAATTGAGGCCAGGGATCATTAACTGCCCGAAGGAATGGAGACTCCCATCCAGCCAGAAAAAGTAAAATGTTGTACTTGTCAGTGTTCCTGTGGGGAAACTTAGCATCGGCAGGATCCTGCATGCACCTAAACCATAGACTTCTCTTCCAGCTACCATTAGAATTCCTGCCTACTTCAGGTTCAGTTTCAACCATGTATTTTTGCAACGGATTGATCTTCTCAGATCAGGTTACTTCGTCAGGAGAGCTGTTGGGAAAGATAGGTACAGCTGTGCCAGCACACTGCTGACATTTGCATTTCTGTCTTTGTAAAGGGAATGAATGCAATGTTTACTGGGATTGCCAGGGAACAGGTGACTAGCAGTGTTGTTGGGAGTGTCAAAGAGAGGGCCTTAGTCTGGACAGGTAACAAGTCAGGTTTTCTAGCTGTTAGGCTATTCCTTGGTTGACCTTGCAGCCAAAATGTCAAATTTCACATGATTTTCCCATGTAATCAGGATAAATGAGTGTATTAAATTTCATGAACATAATTCAAAAGGTCACTTGAATATTGGATAGCAAACAATGAAGGCATAGTGCCCTTTTAGTGCTATCTGATGAAAAGTTCAAATCTATTGTTTTTCTGGGACCAAATGGCTCATAGTGAGTGAAATTATAACTTGCTAAGATTCTAATTCATTTAAAAAAAATAAAAATTAATCACTGTGTTACATCTATTTTTCTTCCAGTACAGTCTAAGGTAAATAGATGCATAAGCTTCTTGTGATTTTTTTGTTTTCGGGGGGGACATGTTACTCCTGAGCCTGTCAGTTCATATGTGTGTAATCAAAAGGAAAAAGATCATAAATTTGGAACCTTGATTTAGATATTCAAAAGAATATATGGGATGGTGCAGATATTCTCAGAAGTCAAAAAAATATTGAATCTATGTCAGTGATATCTGTCTATTAATGATCAGTATTTAAAAAATTGGATCTTAATATGATATGTATGTAATAATATAAAGTATAATAATTTAATATAATAATTTATAATAAATAATATACTACTGAAAATAACTATGTATAAATGTAATATACTATAGAAATACGAATATATATACAACACACAGAAATTCAACATAAATTTTTAAATGCTGGGTATAAATTCTAGACCAAAATGAACATTCTGTCATTACTTTAAATGACTTATACTCCAAATTAGGATTTACATTAAAGTGACACCAATTAATATTAAGTTCTTGTAGTATAAAGAAGTACTGAGAGTCACATATATAGCCAAGTGTTCCTTTCCTACCTTGTCTACTTAATTCTGGCTTGAAGAACCAGAAGACATTTAACAGTTAGGAGGCAGTAGCAGGAAATAGCAGGAAAAGATGATGTTCAGGAGCATCTTGCAGACAAAAATGCCTTCTTTCTTTCATTCATTTTGGTTAGTTATACTTTAAGTTTCACTCATGCAATGCATGAAAATGAGGAAGCACAGTGTGTTCTCACTGTTTGAACTCTTAGGCAAAAATTTGCATGGTACTTAAAAGCTTGGCAGGGATTTAAACTCAAAAGCTTGTCTGCTCTTTCCAAATCCATCTGCTGACCCATTAGTGTTTCAACACTGTATCAATGAAAGACTTAACACAAGAGGAATATGATTTTATTTTAAATGGAAACTGAAATAGAGCAGGTTTTGCTCACACTCTTATAGCTTACTCAGACTCTGGCAGCCTTACTCACCAGGACGTGTGTGTGTCCAGGAAGTCTGCCCAGGATGGCAGAGGGGCAGAGGATTTCAAGCTATCCACCTGGCATCCTCACACCATGATGTTTGTGAGCACATAATGGGCCTAACTGTGGTGCAGAGGTCCAGGGATGCCTGGTGTGAAGTCCTTCAAGCTTCTGTGTTCTTCTTAGGTTGGTAACTTAGGTGTGCAGGTTCTAGTTGTGCTTGTTTGTGTCCTTTTGATGCTGCATCTGTGTCCTGCATCACCTCTGTGAGTCACCAAGGGCCATCCTGTTTTGTCTCCAGATGTCCCTGTCCTGTAGAATTTACCTCAATGTGCTGGGGCTTTTCTGACATGCTAGTCTGGATCAGATGGCTGTTACAAGAGCCCTTTCCCTGCCCTTGTGCTCATGACATCTTCACATGCAGATTTTAGCAGTCTTTCTCCATCCATACCAATCTTGGACTGGTTTTATGTGCAATATTATTTTGCTGCATACAAGTAAACCAGCACTACATAATTTTAATTTTACTCTGAATAACTTTGGAATGAAATTTAACTTCCTCTTTGATGTCTTTAGCTTCTTTTTGAAAATAACATAGCATAGTATCACTGTGTCAACCCATTTTTTGATAACTATCAGATGTTTCCAGTCTCAGGTGTCAACATTTATAAAGGTTCATAAATAAATAATAAATCATAGTAGATTTCCCTTTTCTCTTGCCTTAGATTATCATGGATAAGACTATAACATAGTTCAAAAACAGTGTACATATTAAAAATTATTTCTGAAAATATGGTGATAATATCACTGATATATTTTACAAAAATAGTTGAGAATAGCAAGAACAATACTAAAATGCAACCAGTCATGGAGTCTAAATTGTACTGCATATTTCCAAGCAAGTATCGCAAAAGGCATTTTTAAGAAACATCTGTTCTCCAGATGCTTACTGCTCTATTGAAATAAAGACACTTGGAAAAATGATTTTTCTTTGGTTGATACATTTTTTTTGATGCATCTTGATTTTCAGCACAGAATATCTAGTGTGCCTGTGCTCAGAGAATGTATTTTATTTTGCATTAACAGAAGAATGTAATGGTAGACCACATGAAGCAGTATGATGGGCGCTGAGATTCAGGGTAAAGTACAGTACAAATAACTGTTATTTTGTCAAAGCTTATTATTAAGCAGAGAGTTTAGAGTTTTACTTATATATTTTGTAGGGCAAGTTTCATTTTTATATTTTTATGATCTTGAAAAATCATAACTGATTAGGTGTAGCAAATGAAGTAAGATCAACTTGAATTCTTCTGTACTGAATGGACATTTGTTTTAGAAATCAAGCACCTGTTTAAAAAACATTTCATGGTTGTGATATAAATTAACACAGAAGAAAGAGCAGTCTAAAGCTGAGAGTGTGTTTATTTCCAGCATGTCTGAAATGCAATCATTTTAGGAAAACATTAAAAATAAGACACAGAGAAATATGACAAGGTTATAAAGGCTCAGATTTGCTTAGTTATGCTGAGAATGTTTTTGTGCAAGACAAACATACACTGAAAAACCTTGGATTCCTTTCCAAGGACACCTTCTGGCTGTTTAACGACAACAAAAGGGGAAGATTGTATGTAGATCTTTGTTTGTGCTCACTAAGGAATGATAGGGCTTTCCGTATGTTTTAAGAACTTTGCAAATCAGAAGAATGAACTAGCTGATTCTCATACCAACTCTGAAGTTAAGCCACATGCTTTCATTAAGCTGTTCTTACATAGAGAACTGTTTCTAAAAACAGCAGCTTTTAACTGCTTAATTCAATAACTAAGACAGATCTTAATTATTCTGCCATCCGACAGGGTAGAATAATAAGCAGACAATATAAAAAGTTTCTTATATTTAGGAGGAGGAATGACGTATTAGGACATTGAAGTCTAAAAATAAATATTCTAAAATTAGAGCGTTGTAAGATATGGCTGCACAGGCAGTTGCTAAAATACAAAGGGAGGTTTCCCTAGAGAATATTATTGCTTTGTTATTGTAGCTCTCCTGGCTAGGCTATATTCCTGATGCAAAACACCCTTGCAGAACATGCCAATCTGAAGTTGAACTACAAGGTGAATCACAGTTGAACTCTGTGAAGTTTTGTAAATGGGAAGGAGGGAAGAGTTAAGGCACTTCCAGGGAAATGGATCTCTGTTACAGGCATAAATTTCTTATCTGTTGTTGCCAGAATGTTGTTTCTGTTTTCCTCATGTCTTTTGCTATGAGGCAGGTGATTTTTTCAACATACAGTGCCAAATTATTTGGCTATTGTTTTGTGATATATGCTGGTTATGAGCATCCATGCTCTGTATAGCAAGAATTACTGGACTAACACTCAAACTGAAAAACAGTGCTGTAGCATGTAATAGCTCTATGGAGCTTATTGCAGTGTTGCCATAGGGATCAGGGAACATATCTCATGATTACATGTAAATCACATCCAAGGTAGTAACAATGTTGTTCTATCCCAGAACAAAAATGGATTCAATAATAATGGCAACTTCTGCATTACATTAATGGAAGTATAATCTTTATTTTTTGTGTCCTATCAGCTGTAATGCAAATAGCCATGTTTAGTATATAATATCCACTGTCCATGTTAAAATTTGTAAAGCAACTTACCTCAGTCTGCTTGAACGCTATGAATACACTTGGTATACACTGTATAGTCATAGACTCACGTGGAATCCTAGAATAGGCTGGTTGAAAGGGACCTTTAAAGGTCATCTAGGCCAACCTCTGTGCCTTAGACAGGGACATCTTCAACTAGATCAGGTTGCTCTAAGCCCTGTTCACTTGACCTTGAACGTTTCCAGGGATGGATTGTCTACTATCTCTCTGGGCAACCTTTACTAGTGTTTCACCACCCTCATCATAAAATTTCTTTCTTAATATCCAATCTAAATTAACTGTCCATCAGTGTAAAACTGTTACCGCTTGTCCTGTCACAACAGGCCCTACTAAAAAGTCTGTCCCTGTCTTTCTTGAAGGCCCCCATTAAGTACTGAAAGGCTGCTATGAGGGCTGCCCAGATCCTTTTCTTCTCCAGACTGAACAAACCAAAACAGCCTGTCCAGAAAGGGAGGTGCTCCAGTCCTGTGATCATCTTGGTGGCCTCCTCTAGGCTCACTCCAGCAGGTCCTTCCTGTGCTGGGACCCCAGAGCTGAGGCAGCCCTGCAGGTGGGGTCTCAGCAGAGCAGAGCAGAGGGGCAGAATCCCCTCCCTGGCCCTGCTGGTCCCTCAGCCCTGTGTGAATACTGAGTAGCAATGTATGAATATTGAATCTATAAAGATGAGAAGTAAATAGGAATAGATTACTTAATTCTTCTGTATTTGACTATGGTGGAAGATACTGGACTACTTAGCATATCTCTGGTGGTTTCTTTCTTTTAAAATATTCTGGAAAATGTAGATTCAGCACAGAAATTTAAAGAAAGTCGTCCCAGGCAGTTATTGCAGAGTCAATCACAGATTATAAATTTGAATCCTAGTTTGACTTTTGCTAAATGGTTCTTGTTACTGTTACCTATGAAGAGATGGTGAAAGGCACACTTGAACACAGCTGTCAATGGAGCACATAGAGACAGAGTTTATTAAATTTAAGATAAAATTTGTTTAAATAAGGCCTAACATTCTTTAATTAAGAATGTGACTACTATAGACAATGGAGGTGGGGTGGCAATTAACCTTTCACCCACATTTTGGGAAAAACATTTTCTATACATTGAATTACTAACACTGTAGGTTAATTAATGTAATTCCTCTGTATTAAATACGATACTATATTCCCTGAACACATTTAATCTTTTAGTTCTTCTTGTTAGTTTTGGACTCACTCAAAATATAGAATTTTGAGTAAATAAACCAGAAATGGTTTTAGAAAAGTAATAGAAAAATATTATTTTAATTGTTTGTTTCTGAAAATTTTGAATTACAAGTAAATAGTTTAATGGTATATTCTATATATTACAATAACTGTAATTTTTTCTGTCTCCACTGAGATTTATATTCTTAATGTCAAAATGCTTAGGGAACCTGGTTGAATTTTTGTGTCTTAACTTAAGCTCCTTAATGAAAGAAAAAAAAAATTTGAATTATCTGGAAATTTCTGAAAGGATGTATTTAGGGTCACTGTTAAATAATAAATTCTTGTGTCTTCATGTAGCCAAGGTTCTTTCTAATTATGTCTTCCTACTCATGTTGCCCTTTATAAGGAGTAAATTTCATTCTCTTAGTTTTTTAGGTCTGGGATTTACTTAGCTAAGAAAATTTATGGGTAAGTTCAGAGGCTCATTCCCCTCCGTCTCTATGTGCTGAATGGCTAGAAAAAGAGAGATTATTTTCTTTTTTACACAACAAGATTCTTAGTAAATCTAAATAATCCTTGTGACTTCAATTAGAAATCAACATTGGTTTTTTTTTGTGGGATAGCAATGCCTGTGGTGTTTTTTGAGGCATCCAGTCATAACGCTTCCAGCCCTCGTTCAGGTATGTAGAGAGCAGAGCAAGTGTTATGTCAGCTTATGCTGTGAAATTTGACTCTTAAAATTGATTGTTGTAAAACTCTGCTTAGGTAGGGCCAATTCTATACTCTGTAAACTTATGAATAATCTAAATAAACACCACTAAAGTTAGGGAAAACTTGTAGAGGCAAAAGTTGTTTCTTCTCAGCCAGAAAGGAGCATTCCAATTAAAGTTGATAGTAATTAATTTAAAGTTATGAGCTCACTCTCTATTAAGATGACAAAAAGCCTTAAAATAAAAGATGCAGAATCCTAATGAGCTATAGAAGGTAATTAACATTTCCTTTTGAAATCTCTCTTAGCGAAGGAAGACCTTCTCCCAGAGTGGAACTGCTGCATAACATAGACCCCATGTTTGTGGATGACTCCCCATGTGAGTATGCTCAAGATTTATTGAATGTACAGTTTACCTTCTGAACACTTCTTGTCTTCCATAAGTGAAGTATTTTCTTCCAGGTGAAACAAAATACAGTAGGATGCCTTTTGCTTTTAAGTAAATATCTTTAAAATACAGAAACATCATGCCCTGGATGGTATAAGTACTTCAACATGATTGACATGGGCTTCCTATTTCAGAGAGCTCTGAAACACTGCTGAGTAATGAATAAAGTTCTTTGGAACATGGAAATGTTGAGGAGCAGCTGTGTGCCTGAGGTGCACAGTGAGGCACACTGCCAACAACCCTTTCCAAAACCTCTCTCCAGATTTCCAAATGAACTACTTGCTCTAATGCATCTTGATACAACTGTATAATATGACCTTGCAAATGGAAAGCTTGAGTTTGTGAGGAGCTGAGAAGTTCCAAGCTGTGTGATTGCTTTTGTTCTATAATCATGTGGGTTGGATCCTTAATGCCACAATCACATGAATTGGAGCTGAAGTTTGCTGATTCTATAGCTCTTTTTAAGCACCATCTGTTTTATGATTCAACATTACTAGTTTGCTAAGGACTACAAGCTTTTTAGGCAGACATTTTTTTCATACAGAACATTGGAACAGGTCCCTTCCAGTGTTTTTATAGCATTTCTGTATTTCATTATATAAAGAAGTAAATCCAAGCAGAGTAAAGGTAGTGCAATGGAGACAGTGATCTGTTCCCTACAAGACAAATACACGTTGTGCTGCAATAACTGGATGGAAGTGGGTAAGGTGGCCTTTTGCAATGCACATCTGTTTCTGTGATACTTTTCTGAGAAGCAGCAACAGTATGCCTGTCTAATGCTGACTGGGAAGCACTGTCTGCAGATAATTCCTACATACTGATTGAATTAAGGTGTAGCTACTCCAATTTCCCTTCAGAAAATACTCAGTGAGTCACAGCATTCCTGTACAATGTTATGCACTGGTGAGGTATTCTCAGGCATGCTGCAGAGCCCATCTTTTCCTTCTGGGAATGGGTCTGTGATTGAGGTGTTTAAGTAGACAAATTCCTGGAGCAAGGAGAAGGGGGAAAAGCTAAGGAGGTTTTCAGGAACCTGAGCTCTTAGGAAATATGGCCCCAAACTGCTTCCATGATGCCATGCTCTGATGATCGTTCACTGTTTGCTACATATGTCATGTCCTTAGTTGTGTGCATTGCATGAAATGTGGGCAAGAAGTGGGGCTAGCAGTCAGAAGCTGTAGTAGGTGCAACACTTATGCTGCACCAGATGTGGTTTTTAAGAAACATGGACAAAGGAAGTTACATGCATGCCTGTAAATTTGCAGTGTTTTTATGTGCCTTTCAAAACTGCAGTAATTACAAACAAAAACTGAACTCTTCACCAGCACATTCTTATGCACCATATAGAGTTTGCCTATCTCTTCTCAGCAAAGGCCTATTCTTTTGGCAGATTACTTTGTGCTGCCTAGTGAAATTATGCTTTGTCATATAAAGTTTAAATTTTTTATTTAGCTGCCTGAGTTATTAGGAGTAATTGTATATGTATGTAAGTCAGCTGATTTTTACTTACTGTTTTTCATTTATTGAAACTGAGTAAATGTTTAGAATTAATATCTAATTAGAAAAATTTTGCTGGCATCTCTATTATGGATAGATTAGTGAGACACAAAACTTCCAATACACAAGCACTTCCAGATTTTCAGCAATCATGGTTCTTTTAATGTTTTGTTGGTTTACTTTTAGTTTTTTTAACAAAAAGCATCTTATACTGTCCATGCACTCTTCTTGTCACCAAGACGATAAACTGTGTCACTCTGGAGTCTTGCTCTATCCTTGACTGCTTATTGTTCCTGTATCCTAACTGTCTTGACATTGAAATATTCTTTTGCCTATGGTGCTAAAATACATGTTTGCAGGTTTTGCTGGCTTCTTTCTAAACTCTGTATAACCTTTTAACTTCCTTATGCACATTTTGCTCTTGTCCTTACTTTGAAAAATCACATCAGCTAAATCAAGTGGTGTCAGATGAAGTATTCCTATTATCCTAAAACTTTCTTTGTTATAGAAATTTGAATTATAAAGTAAAATAATAACTGGAAGATAAGATTAGCCAAATCTTTAGGTTTGCAGAGTACTGTAAAACAGCAAATAGGCAATTAAATATGAAGATTCTGTTAAATGTAACCAAAAAAGGACTTTCCAGGTTGTGGTTAACCAGGTGAGAAGACAGTGGTATTGTAGCTGGGCACATGTAGAGCATCAAGTTACTATTTTATGTGCACTCAGTGCAGGTTTGGTGTTCCCGAACTCTTGAGTGGTTTTGCCTATACATTCTTTCACTGTAATATATTTTTATTTAATGGATACATTTATCTCATCTCTATCAGAAAATACTAATTTTATATACATACATGCATACATACATACATACATATATATAAGCATGAATGATGGGATATCTTATGTAATTATTAGGGGCTTTCAACCAAAACAGGAAAACTGAGCTTTGTTCTGTGTCGCTCTATTAGGAACGGCGAGAAGAACAACACAGACTCTCTTGGGAGTCGATCAGGAGAATTTCTCTCGGTTTATTGCTTCAGATCTTTTTTATAGACCAATATGTGAAAAGTACAGAAAAGAAACTCTTATTGGTTAGCAAACTAACACATCACCATCATTGGTCAGTGGGGTACACCACCCCTCGACCTTCTCTTGCAAGAAAACAAGGAACAGACAAACAGCACCTGCAAGGCTGTTTTCTGTCTCTGAGGATTGTTTTAATTCCTCCCCATGATTTCCCAGGCCACTTTCTCAGGCAAGACTGAGAAAGCTATGCGGCCTGCAATTTCCACAGGCA